GTTGCTTTCCTTCTGCAGTTCAGAGTGACAGCATATACGCCATCAAGTCTAAGACTATTCCCAATGTATAGTGGTTTTACAGCTGACCGTTCTTCTCTCCAACCTGTGTATCCACTGCCCTAGTTATTTTAGCGGTCCACTACGAAGATGATATTTATGCCCACTATTTCGCTGTGAATATTTATTATTACGTACCGTGAATATGAACGTATGGATTGCTTGTTTCTGATTTCTCTTTCTGTCACCCTCCAAGGTAGAGAATACATTTTCAAATGATGTATTTTCACATGCCAGTGTTGCTTGGTATGTAAGTAGTATAGCAATACCATTCGGGGGTTCGAATCCCTGGGGCAGCATTGGTTACACAAATAATGAATTACCTTTTTAGAAGAATTGTTGCAACATGGGAATTTTTTCTGGCTCATGCTGTATTACTGAAGAGAAAGGTGGGTTTGGGAGTCAGCTGCAGCATTGGATAGTATAGCGAGCATTGTGAGAATAGTAAAGATTTACCCCTCGCTGCTTGGAAATCCATATTTGGATGAGGAAAATGTATTAGCATGGTACGCCAGTCCAGCTAGTGGCTGGAGGCAATGCAGGTTCAATTCCTGGGACCAATGACACCGGCACGAGAAACAGATGTTTTGTCACATACAAAAATCTGTGGGTCGCTTATTATCATTTGTACTAGGAAAATACCTTCTCTGCTTACAGAATAATCATTATACTTCTGGGACCTTTCGAGATGAAGGTCAATATGAGAAAGCAAGTATTTACTGCTGGCGTGGGTAAAACATGCCAATAATGCTCTGAGACTTGTCTTGTAAATATGCTCAGCATATGAATATGATGGTTCTGCAACACAGCTCTCTTGGTTGTGGTTTTTGAGGTACAATTCCTTAGTCCATCACTGGAAACTAACTGAAAACCCACCGGGTTGACCCTAGCGCCACTTTCTGAGGTAAACTGGAAACTAGAGTAAAAATATCTGAGATATTATGTCTTATATCGGATCAGCAAAAATTTCAATGGGGCATCATGATTCATCGCGTCAGATGTCCTGGCAGGTATTTTCAGTCGACGCGACGCGTCACACACGTGGTCTCGGTATTTCCCTTTGCGATCAAGATGACACAGGGTTCGCCTTTCAGGTCGTCACATAACGGTCACAGAGGACAAGCATGTTGACTACGACCACGAAAAACCTAGCCACCCGTGCGGCATTCCAGGACTCTTCGCCCCCTGGACTACCTTTCCCATACGAAGGTCCTCGCAACTTGAAAGCAGTCGACATCAAGGGGACGGGCGAACACTGACGAGGGTGCAGCCAATGAGGACGAGTGACACGAGGTGCGAATGAACCTAGTATTCCTTTCATGTCTTAGTCCTTCCTCAGGGCCTCACTTTCGAGTACATGGCCGCGCAAAAACCCTTCGTAGCCCTCCCTGTCGATTACTTGCTTACGCCCGTGCTCCTCCAAAGTTTTCCCTTGGCATCAGCGTCCGTGATATGGATGATTGGCTCTCCGTCTCGTGCCGAATGAACCCCAGCAAACTCCTTTATCGACTCAGGGACCGCACGAACCTGACACGTCTTTGCTGTTTGTTCCCTATCTATACGTATGTTACGAGGTGGAGATGCTTCAGTCGAACCCGGTCTCCCCAGTCATGCCTTCAAGACTCGCGTGCACTCCTTGATGTCATCAGGAAACTCTGCTCAGAATGATAAGACACGTCGCACCTTGATATTCCCCGACCTTTGTTTTCGATTCCTTGCCGACGTTAGACTATAACAAACCAGGCCTGTTACTTAGTTTCTATTACTCCTGCGGGGCGACACTTACGTGTATTGTCGAGGCCGTACTATCTCTATTCGGAATAAAAAGACCAAACCTATTGTTATCGAGAGAGTTGTGCTCTGGCCTGGGGGCTGCGCCAGCTTCTCGCCCAGCTCAACGGGCCAGTTAACAGGTAATCAGCTCTTTTTGAAAGGCTGGCACTGCGTGTGATGATACGGGTAACACGACCGCCTATTGGTGTGGGGGAAGACTGATATTAACTGTGCAGGTAGATGCGACTAGGTACTCTTGTCGTGTATGCAAACAATTACGGCTGATAAGGACGTCATTTGTCATCGTTAGTTGTCCGTCGGTTTCATTCTTTTGTACATCTTCCTCATTCTGATTGCTTATACCTTTCTTCAAGATCACAGCTACTAGAAATATTACAGGTACACGCAGTTTTTCCTTTTGGATTTGAACCACACTGAAAGGGCGTACCTGTTTCGCTTTGGTTCTAAGGAAGAGCGAGGATGCAGGGTGAGAAAAGAAAAAGAGGCGTCGAGTATGGTTTCGTGGTTCTTATCACTGTGGTATCCACGTCCAACTAGTGACGGGAGGTGTCCCTGGTTCGATTCCTGGGTGCGGTAATTTGAAGGTGCCCAGTAATTTTTTGCAATTGACAGAAATCTTTGAGGGATGAGTCTGCTGGAATTTCACGTTTGCGTAGCTTTTGTATTTGAGCAAGCCACATATATTGGATGAGGCTGATGGAGTCATCAGATGCTAGGAATAAGTTGTGTGAATGGGGAAGATATAAGGAAAGCGGCTCAGCAAGGTTTCCGGTCTGCGATAACGAGTAGCTGTGCTCCAAAGGCATTTCCACTGAACTCCAAATTTGATCCCTCTAAGCAGAGAAATTTTGAATGATCTTCCTTTTTTCTGAGGAACAATGCTTTTACCAAGTCCAGGCTGAGGAAGGAAGGGCACCTGTTGTGGTCGCCCTGCGATATCATTGTATCGAAACAAACTAGATAGATTTTATCAACATCTCCAAACCTTTGGATTGGCCTGGGCCCGTATTTTTAAATGGTCTCATCGTGCTTGAAGTAAAGATTACGAAGAAACTTCCAAGGAAGGATTTACCCATGATGATATAGATAGAATACCAAAACACTCTAGTGCTGTTCCTATCAGTGCTCCTCGCATATTCAATTGACGAAGCTGTAGTGGCGCACGTTGCGATTGTTTGAGTGCAACGTCCAAGGTTCAATTCCTCGGTTCATCATTGACCAATTGTGGGGCTTCAATAGAGTTTTTTGTGACAGCCGATCCTTACAGATGTATTACAGGCACTTTCCTAATAGTCAGCGTACGACCAAAGTATTCCTGTGAACTTGAGGAGATCATGAAGAGGCTACAGGTCAAGCCGATCCGAGCCTCGACGCGACGTGATATACACGTGATCTCAGCATTTCCCTATTCGATCCGAGGCGGTATCAGGTACCACGCGGGCGAAATATGGTTCCTTTTCATCGTTGGACCCTTCCTCCACCTTCCACCCTCCCCCAAGCCACCTTTCCTCTCGCTCTCCCCCTTCCCAAAGCTCTGCTTCCTGATTTTTCTGACCATCTTTCATCAGGTGGGTTTAATTAATGACATATCAATTGATGTGGCTCGCCTCATGTTCACAGGACCATCTTTTCTCACAGGCACTTGCTTTCTTTCCCGACTGTCACAGGCATTGGCTGCGGCTTTGGGAGTTATCCTTATCGTTGCTGGAGGGTGTATTAGGATTCGTGGTCAGGGTGGTTAGTGAGCTGGCAATACGTGCGTCGTCTTTCCGTTTCTTATTGTGCCTGCTAACGGAGCGGCAGTGTATCATGTCATCCGCGGCTTCGGCGTCGTCCTCGACACCTACCGTCTCTACAGGCCCGTCTTCCACTGACAAGCGACCGCTCATCTTAGGTTTAACCCTCGCCTCCATTGCCGTCCTCGTCATCGCCATCATTCTATTCTTCACCTTCCGACGTCGCAAATTCTCCGGCGCAGGCTCTGACGACTACGTCTTCTCCAGACACGCAACGGTCGTCGACCGCTCCCATATCGCTTCACGAATAACGCCCTTTGGCGCACCAGGTGGAGAGACGCCACAATTTGGTGCGTGCTAATTCTGTTGATGTGGCTGTTGGCTGTACTGAGAAGCTTTTGCAGTGCATACGCCGGGATTGAATATGCGTATTGCGAATCGAAGAGAGGACGGGGTGTGGACGTTCTCGGATCCAAGAGCGCCGTTCACGCCGCAAGGCGTCGGTGACCCTACGCCCGCGTCGCCATGGTCCTCCCGAGATAAGAAGGGGTTCCGGAAGGGCGCATTTGATGCGTACGAGTTCGAGCCCGACCCGAGCGTGCTGCCGCCCCCAGCGTACGCTTATGGAAACGAGAACAGATACCTCAGACAATGACCGGTTGACCGCACATCCCTCCCATTATAATGAGGACTAATTTATGATTTTATGGCTGGATTTATTCTCGGATTTAAATTTTCACCTTCGCTTGCATTATCGCTTTCGTTCGCATCATGCTTTCTCGTTTTATTTGATTCTACTGATTCATCGCACTGTTCATACCTACACACATCAGCTTCTTCAATTCAATCCTTTTACTTTGTCATAATGGAACAAGTGTTTATCATGATCTACATGCATTGTTGGGAGGAACTGCTTCTTTGCGGCAACACCTGGGAGCCCTCTGTTCGGCTCATTATCGAAGTAGGATAATCGCACCGAACGACGATGAGCGAGTAAGCTACGTTGCAGTAAACTTACGATACTGGCATGCTTCATTCTACCACTGCGTAGTTTCGACTATAGTTCACCGAGATCAACGAATATCCTCTCTTCTAACCTCTGTTTTCGTCGCCTCTACTAGTTCCATATGATTTAATCTCGGTCCCGCACTATCGTATCTTAGTGTTAATCAAAAGCACGCCGCCTAGTCAGCGCGTGCATAAACGTAGCTCGGTATATATTCATGGAACGTTTAAGCAAGGTACCAACATACCGCACAGCACGCGAAGCCAAACCATCATATCATGCAAGAACAACACGGCTCAGTACTGGATTCTGGCGTGACGCGTCATTTAGACTCGACCTTCACTTGAGATTGGCATCTGTCGTTGTCAATGGGGCAAAGAAGAAAAAAAAAATTCACAAACTAAAAGAGGCACTACCAGGGTTCGAACCTGGGTTGTGGGAACGAAACCTGTTGAGTTGCCTCAAATCAAAATCCCAAGTGCTGCCACTACACCATAGCGCCGACGGCTGCACGGTCCTAAAGTAGGAATAAGGTTTAGGTTTGTGATTTCCTAGTTCCCTTGTAATTAATAAGTATGTGTAAAATATCATTTCCTGAGTACCCTTGGCTACTATCCCGCATGCGGCCAGCACTGATTTATGGTATGGAACGTATCATTTGTCGTCGAGAAAGGCGCTCATTGGGACCGTAACCCGTTGCTTAACAAAGTACGACATACTCGTTGAGTAGCGCCAGAAGCACATCTAAAAATTCAAAAAATTCATTTACACTGACAAAATATGAGCGCAGGTACCGAGAAGGGGACGAAGATCATACCCTTCTCGGCAGATTTTGCCAAATATCAATACTGCAGACTGAAGCCTAGTGATCGTTGCGCTGGACGGGCACTTGGAGGGAATGCTCAAAGACACAAAACGAGCTCCCGATAACAGCCTTTTGACCTGCAATTTTTTGCAATTATGCGCCGTAGGTATAACGCATAGTAGGTATCTGCAAAAACAGGCGAGGCTATCGAAGCTGAGTCGCTGCGATGGCTGTTGGAAAGAAAGCCGGACCGATGCACAGCCACTAAAACGGTCCTTCTTCCCAACCATTTCTGTTCGCATACCTCTTACTTCTGGCAGCTCTCCCCATCGAGCCTCATTCTTTCAAGTGTCGCAATGGACTGCCCTCAAAGCTCAAGATGTACTAGCTGCACCGGGAATATCGATCTGCTCGAACTTTACTGACAATTTTTGCTGGGTTGGACGAAGTGACATTCAAAGCGGCATGTGGTGTCCCCAAGCTGGTCTTTAGCTTTTTCTGTGCTATATCCACCATACTCTGTGATCTGTGCGGGCAGTGCCAGATGCGTTTTGCCCCGGGACTAGCGTTGACCTGCACCGGAAAAATCTTCGGATAACTTTGTTTTTACTATGGGCTTATGTCGATCAGATAGTTGTGTTACTGGACTTGGCTTATCTTATTTGTACGCTAGTCAAATCCTGGTGGTACATTTTTTGTCGCGCTGCCAGCCCGCCTTGCAAATTCGGTCGTCCAACTGATTGGTGGTCATTCTAGTTTTCTCATTTATATGAAGCAATATCTCCCAAATAGACCATGTGGTAGTGATCAACCCCTGAAGTAACACAAAGAGGCTACCAACACGCATGGTCTCTATGCTTATGTCTTGTTTATTGATTTGTTATTATTATTGGCGCTTTGACCGACGTCGGGGTGGCATGAAGACGCAGGTACATAAACCCCTCCCCAGCGGTTGTCGACCGCTTCGCCCTTTCTTCGACGCATCATGCAATCACCTGTAGGAGCCTCCCTGTCTTGCGGATTAGCCTATCTCACGCTTCCAACAGAACGTTACTCTTCCATCCTTTGAGGAACTTCTTCAAAGCCTGGTGAGCGGTCCAGCCCACTATGATGCCCGCGTCATCCTGTATTCTCACATATCAGCCTGCAGAATGGTCCGAATCCACCGCCACTGCCTGGCCGTTGCGTCCAGCCCGGCGCGGGGCCTACGAGTGCCCAGCTCCCAGCCGTACGTCTTACCGAAGGTCATCACCCATTCAATAACCTTATTTTTTTTTGGCATGTAGATTTATCAATATCTGTTGCCACAGCCCAGAACTGACTTCAAGCCCAGCGCGACGAGTCCACCGCCCCCAGTCGTACGTTTCGCTGAAAGTCGCCACCCATTCAAACTTACCTTTACTGCATGTAGAATGTCCAACATCCGCCGCCCCAGCCCAAAACTCACTCCGAGCCCAGTGCGACACATCCTCTTCCAATCGTACGTTTCCTCGATGGTTGTTACTCATTCAATATTAATCTTTGTTAAGATTACTGTTGATTATCGTGCCAATTACCAGACAATACCGGGTCCTCTTGGCCCATAACACCAGTGGCTAAAGCAACCTTTAGGTGCTGTACACGAAAATTGTGTTAGTACAGGGTCTCTTGTGTCAGGGCTTTGCATCTCATTGAATCACTCAGCCTCCAGGAAATTACTACGCTCTTTTAAAACTCTCGGAAACATATCCGCCGCACGAGAAAGAAGAATGCTTTGCCTCTGGTTGCTGCTCCCTGATAAAACGAGGGAGCCCGTTTGCCCAATTTGACATCGATCCTCTGAAAACTCGAGGCAAATCCTATACCGTTTATCTTCATCGCCCTAAGTGGGATAATCGCAAGAACCTTCCCGTCCTCAAAAGTATCCCTTTCATTTCAAGCGATCCGAATGACCAAGAGCTTGGTCTCCCGGGCGTTAGCGTTCCCCGTCTACTCGCTACGGAACCCGGCATCTTGGCAGATGCTAACAGTTTGATTCTAAATGCTGAATCTCTGTGGCCGACTCCGCGTACTTGGTCTCCCCAAGTTAAGGTGAGTATTCTCCAAAATGTTAATTTGCCCCCGCTGAGTCTAACTTGCATTTAGGTTAAAGAACACTCTCTACTGAGATATCGCTGCTATAATAGCACGATGGAATGCAAGCATGCGGTTCTAACACATCTAGGACTAGCTTATAGTCTTGCGGCTGATTTTTTCCGAGTCTATGATCGCGTATGAGATACTTCCTGACTGTAGTTGCTTTTGACTCATTGATATGACAGGGCACGAAAGAGAAGTCCTTCGATTTCATGCGTTTGAGGCTCGTAGCCCTTTACACAGTAGATCCTTCAAGCGTACAGTGGAATGTGGCCTACGCAATCGTGGATTGAGTGAGGACGCTCGGACTCCAGTGGTGGCTACAAGTATCGCATTTTACCGAAGTATGTGACTGCTGGACCTGTGCTCTGAACTTTTGCATTCCGCGTAAGCGGAAAAGCAACTACTATTCATCGGTGACTTGCGTTGGTTTCTGGTGGACTTGTGTGCCCATGTTCTTCCGAATATCGAAGCTAGATGCAAGTGGTGGGCTTCGCCTTGGTACGTACTGCGACATTCCCAGATCCGTAGGCCACTGTTGCAGCCGGCCAACGATGTCCTCTGCTCAGGAGGAATTCGAGCTGGACAGTATCTCGGCGTGAACTTGTTTTATAGCACGTACAGTAACAGATAATACGAATATGGATGCTACAATTCCTCCTAAAGTACTACAGAGACAACGAAATGAAAATACTTGAAGATAGAAGTTCGAAACGCAACGTAATATTGAAATGATTCTGGTCGGGCTCTATACTCCCGCTTCATATTGTACAATCAGACCTCCCTGGCGCAGTTTCTCCCAACGCTCCGATTCGCCAAGGTCGTCCTTCAAACGCACTTCCTTCAGTGCAGTTTGTCCCCCGCTGGATGGTACTATAGCGCGTCGTGCTTCGACCATATCCACAACAGCACAACCATGATCTGAGAACTCCAACTGACTGCCACGGAGGGAGAATGTTTTCAAGCGCGGAACTAGCTCGAAAACTCCGTCTCTACATCTTCCAAGTGCGGTGAAGAGAGCATTGTCCTTTATGACGATTTTAAGGGTCATTACGCTCAAATTTGGAGTGAACTGCAGCATATCAGTTAATGCGCGTCCATGGATAAAGTGATCAGAATCTATCGTCAGCTCTGACAAAGCCGGTGCTGTGTATTCAGATATCGCTGGAAGGATAGGGCTTTGTCCTTTAGAGGGAGAGACCCTTAATCTCTCAAGGACTGGTAGGCGGAGTCGAGGCAAAAGCCGGACAGCAGAATTCGAGAGGCGAAGGGCCTGAAGACCAACCTGTCTAATCATAGGAATCTCGATTTGCTGTGGCAGGTCACTCGGATTCTCGAAGTCGACCGACGTGCCAAAGATTTTCAAATGTTTAGCTCCATTAGATTGGAGGAAAGAAACCGCATCAGAGGTCGTTGAGATAACATATAATTCCGATATGTTTTCCAACGGTAGAGCAAACAAGTTCGAAAAGAAAGGCGTGTCCGACACAAGTTGTTGCGTTACTGACAACTCTCGGAGGCGGGGGGCTTGGCGGAAGCCATAAACACCAGTAGAATCAGGACGTATGTCTGACCGATGGAAGCCGGACACCTCAATTGCTAAGGTCTCCAAGAGAGGCAAACGATGTGATACACTATTGAAACAACGCAAAGAACGGAGTGATGCAGCAACCTCCAGAGACTTCCATCGGTCCGACATGGACAGAATCAACGCCAAAACTGGGTGGTGCGAGAAGTCCTTAAGACCCTCGATGTAGACTCTGAGGGGATGCCTTCCCGCTCTGGCCAATACTACCCCTAAGCGAAACACCGACTCCATATGATTCGCGTAGAGGTCCATTTCCAAATGAACATTTGCCCATAATCCTGATGACGATGATACAGTCTGTCTCCAAGATGCACAGACCTGGGAGAGTACCCATGGTGCTTGGTCAGCATCAAGCGAATCTTCCGTACGCTCGGAGAGACATGCAGTGAATATTTCGATCAACACATACTCCGGTAGTCTGCGAACGGGATTGAGAAGACTTTTAGCATCCGAGATATGCTGTACGGTCCGGGCCTGTTCGTTTAAGAGAATTTTCAGTGTTTCTTCGACCGTGGCGATGCGCTGGGGTAGAGAAGACAGGTTGGCTTCCCCCTTGCGGACAACGGCCTCGAGAGCCGTACGTTCCGAGTCTACAGGAGAGTCATTGCACGACGACAGCTCCTCGATTCGTGAGGAAGGGAGAGTGAGGGTAAGGCTTTCCCCTGGCATGGCATACCCGCATTCGGGGCATTTTAACAAGGTGACTTGGGGGGTGTCAACGGGATGCATAAGGGGTGAAATCGGAGAATCTGGCTGAGATGGTACAATCTATAGGGACTTGTATAAGATAGACACTGGAATACCGAGGCGTGAGGCTCACTGTCGACCGAATTCGCACTCGTTCCCACAGAGTCAGTATTCTTTGCTGTCTTTCGAAGGACCTTGCAAAGAAAGAACTTGAGAACGATAACAGAGACTAAGTCTGTATGACGAGGAAGCCTCCAAACTAACGAGGGCGTTCAGAATGGTAGGAAAGCGACTCCAAGAGATGAAT